ACCTGCCATCTTATCCTTTTGGTGTATAGGAGGACGCTCCAACCAATTGAGCCACCTGATTAGAGTTCTGTTCACAACTTATACAGCTTAGTACTCTGCTTGGTTCCCAGAGGGCCTGCCTAGCACTGCTTACCAGTTTTTCATACTGGAATTCTACCCAGCATAGGATGAGGATTCACCTCGCTGTTTCTTACGTGTCAGACACCTGCCTATCACTTCCATGATCACAGCATACCTAAGGACTACTTACACTATTACTTACGCAATCTTTTCCTCCAAGTCCACTTAAAATAACAAACTGAAATGCTTGTTTTAAAAAATAACTTTATGTGCCATGCCAAAACCAAATTATGGTCTGTCTCTAAGTATCACACAAAAATATCTCATGGGCCACAAGTGTGACTCATGCTGCCGACTGAGAAACACTGACCTAGACCAACACTTTCCTCTCACAGATGAGAAATCTGAGACTTGAAGCTGGGAGGTCTGTCTCAGGTCACACAATTGGTGTCGAACTAGAATGAAATCCAAACTTTTTAACTTGTAGGCATGTACCCCACCACCTTCCTTTGCTCTGTGGTACTAGAAGTACTCTTATCCTTTAGTTTAAGCTATAAATCCCTGCTCAGAATGATGTGTTACTCTGTGTAAATAAAATATTAACATTCACGATTATTTTTCTATTTAGGATTTCATGTCATCATTAGTGAGCATTAAGTAACAGCATTTTGCTAAACTGTTATTTTGTTAAGTAACAGTATTTTGAGAGAAAGAGAGAGAGAGAGAGAGAGAGAGAGAGAGAGAGAGAGAGATATTACCCTAAGCAAAGATGCAGTGGGCTGTACAGTTTTCAGGTGATAACAGTTTCTGGGAATTCTTTTCTTTTCTTTTCTATGGCTTCTGTTATGGTATAAACAATACCAATCATACAAATTTTAAAATAGATTACTGCCATGAAATGCATCAGGCTCTAATGATCGGATATTCTTTTATTTGGTAACTCTACTTCTAAGAATGTATCCTAAGGAAATGATCAGACGTGCAGTCCAAAATTTAGGTTTAAAATGACAAATTGCTGAATTATTTATATAATATAAATGAAACATTTTAATGGAAATATATAAACAGATCTTAAAATAATGTTTTCAAACAATTTCAATGACTTAGAAAATACTCTTAATATGATGTTAAGTTTTAAAATGGATACTAAACCGTATTTATAGTTTGACTTCAGTTATATAAGAAATTGATTTGCACATTTTTAAAAGACTAGAAAGATAGATACCCAAATGTCAGCTATTATAATTGATGCTTAAATTATCTTCTTTTTATTTTTTCTGTAATTTCTAAATGTTTTATTATTTACTATTTTCATAATACAAAAAGTAAATAATGTTAAATGTTTATCACTGGGATTCAATAGTCAGCCTCCAGTGTTGGAAGTATCCCAAGTACTGAGTTACTCTGTTCTGTTCTAAGATCAGGGCTGGAAGAAGAGCATTATCCACACCACAGCTCTAAGCAACCAAGCGGTCTCCACTGGACCAAATCCCGTTAAGTTTCAACCAGAAAATGCATGCAATCACTTAAGATCCTGTATAAACAAGGCATTTCTAAATACAAATTTAGTTAGAATTCATAAGGAAGGAAATAAAGAGGCTAAAAGGAAAGCAAAAGAACACTAAAAGATGTAAAATGGCTCAAAATATGTACTCTAAGGATAAACCCCAAAATACCAACAAACAAAACAAAACCAGGCATTTGCTAACTAATTAGTAGTACACTTCACTTTAGAATAAAAATTCTCTTTTGAGAAACACAAATACAAGGAAGGATTAAAGTTGTCCAGAGAAATTTCTTACCATAGAGCCCATCTTGTGTGAGGTACTCAACAAGATATTGGCAGCTGTTAGCAGTTCAGCAGGGACTGTTCTCTGAACGTGGATGTGCTGATGGATTTATTGCCAGCTGTTATCTGAGGAAGCCGAGCTTGCCCTTTGTCCACAAAAATTTAATTGGAACCTCCAGCAGGTTTCATTCAGACCCTTAGCTCCCTGCGTCAGAGGCAGGAAAGCAGGACTGGAGAGGAGAAAGGGAGAAGAGAAATTACCTTAAGCAAAGATGCACTGGGCTGCACTGTTTTTCTCTGTGCTTATCTATCATGAAACTCTTTAACTCTTGCCTGAGTCTGAATACAAATTGGAGGACAAAATGGAACCAGAATGCAATTCCTGCCCCTTGGTACTTAGTCAAAGAGTCTCCCGTGCTCCCAATTGCTTTCTGGAAAGAAACAAATCTTAGAACACCCAAGGGACCAAAGAAAATAAATATTTAATAATCTATACATGTTGTTCTCAAGCCATAAAAATCCAACATACTTGGCCTCTGTAAAGTCATAGATTGTGTACTAGCATCCCAATATTATCCCAATGTCTGGCCTACAGTAGCCTGTAGTAAACATTTCTTTCTTTTTTTTTTCTGTACATATAAAATTTATTTTTTATTCAGTCCATCCTCTTAAAATAAAATCCTAACCATAAAATTTCCCTATGAATATCTTTTACATTTTTTTTTTTATCATCTTTATTGTTTAAAGTATTACATATGTCCCTCTTTCCCCCCATTGACCTCTCCTGATGTGTTTCTGTTGAGAAATCAGTTGATAGTCTAATGGGAGATCCCTTGTAGGTGACTTTCTGTTTCTCTCTTGTAGCCTTTAAGATTCTTTCTTTGTCTTTTATGTTTGCCAATTTAATTATGATGTGTCTTGGTGTAGGTCTTTTTGGATTCATCTTGATTGGGACCTTCTTGATTCCTGTACTTGTGTGACTTTTTTCTTCCCCAAGTCAGGGACATTTTCTGTCATTATTTCTTCAAACAGGTTTTCTATTCTTTGCTCAGCTTCCTCTCCTTCTAGCACTCCTATTATGTGGATGCTGTTTCATTTCATATTATCTCAAAGCTCCCTTAAAATCTCCTCCTGTTTTTTATTTTTTTTTTCCAGTTGCTGCTCTACATGGGTATTTTTTTCTACCTTGTTTTCTAACTCACTGATTCAGTTCTCAGCTTCTTCTAGTCTACTGTTGAAACTTTCCATGGTGTTCTTTATTGCAGCTATGCCATTCTTTATTTCCTCTTGATTCTTATTCATGTTGGTGTATTTCTTATTCAGCTCCTTATAATTCTCATTGAGTTGCTCATACTTCTCATTCAGCTGTTGGAGCATCCTTAAAACCATTATTCTGAATTCCTTCTCTGACAAATTACTTCCCTCCATTTCATTTAGTTCCTTTTCTGGTGATTCCTCCTTTTCTTTCTTTTGGGGGTTGATTCTTTGTCTCCCAATTTTTGCTCTTCCTTTGTATTTGTTTCTATGTATTAGATCAAACTGCCATGCCACACAGATTTTTTGGGTTGGTCTTATGTAGTAGATATTTTGTGGGACCCAGTGGTGCAGTCTCTCAGGTCTTCTAGACTGGGTGTTCTAGGAAGGCCCCCTACTTGAGATACCTGGGTTCTCCTGTTGTAGTTGGGTCTTCAATGTTATTGTCCTATTCATGGGTGGAGTCTCCTCTCAGGGTGTCTGATTATGTGGCTCACTCCCTACCATGTTGTGCCAGCCATTGTGGAGGTGCTGACCGAACAGCATAAAATACAAGATAATACATGACACAGAAAGAACAAAACAAGAATGTACACAAGGCCTCTATAGCCCCAACAAAAGTGCCCACTAGAGAAAAGAGAATTAGGAAAGAGAAAATAGAGCAAGAATGATAGAAAAAAAGAGAAAAAAATGGGGAGAAAACACAATAGAACAAACAGAAAAATAAACCAAACACACTCAAGGGTAGGGGGCAGAATCTGTAGGTGCAGAGATTAAATTAAAAAGTAAGGTTAACGAATTAGAGGAATAGGGGAAAGACACCATGGTTTAGAATAGAGAAGGGAGAAAAGAAATGAGAAGACAAGAAAAAAAATTGAAAAGGAGAAAAGAGGAGAGAGCAGATAGGCCTAAATTTAGGAAATGAAACAAGTTAAAAAATTAGGAGAAGAAGAAAAGAGCAAGAGAAGAGAGATAAAAAATGAGTAGTGAAGAAAAAGAGAAAAGAAAATTGAGTAGGAGCAGGGAAGAGGAAATTAGATATATGAACAAACCAACAGAGACTAGAATAATAACAAATCAATAAAGCAGATAGATAGAGAAGATCCATTTTAAAAGGGTGGAAAAAAGAAAGGAAAGAGAAAAAACTAAAAAGGAGAAAGGAGAAGAAAAATGGGAGGTAAAAAAGAGAAGAAAGGAAGAAAAAGGTGAAAAAAATGAAAATGTTCACTTCAGCTGAGTTTTAATGCCCAATAGGAGCTGACTTTGGACCCCACTCTTCTGTTCTGTCTGCCAATTCTGGGCTTCCTGTTAGGTACTTAGGTGCTAACCACTGTCAGGCACGGTGTTTTGGCCTTTAGCACCCTGCTTGAAGCTCCAAGCAATCCATCAGTTCACTGCTTGTGTCTGTCTCCACAGGCCTTGGCTGCAAGCAGGAAGGGCCAATCAGCCCTGTTTGCCTGTCAGCCAGATGCCAATCTTAATCACTCAGGAGTCTGTTTCTGATAGGGCTTTAGGTGGGGCTGGTGCTGTTTCGCTTTCAGGGAATATGATGGATGTTTTTCCCTGTCCCAGAACTACTCCTCCACGAGTGGCCCAAAATATTATTAGTCTGCCGTTGGCTGGACAGAGATCCTTGTATGGAGACCAATGGGATCAGCTGGAACCCTGGAGTTTTTATCAGTCTGGTTCCCAGAATAGCAGAGAGGATCGCCCCTCTTCTAATCTAGCCACTGAGGGCTCCTTGAGACTGTTTAGACCTATAAACTTGGCCTCTGCCTTTGTTTCCTCTGTAAAGTTCAAATTGCAGGCTATGTCACCTGCCCTGAGGCTACTGGGCTAGCTCCTCTGTGGAGAAATGGCCATTTTGGTTTGGAAGCATACGAATGCCCCAATGCAGGACTCCTGGCTACTGCTTTTCCACGTCTCCCTGCCCTGTTTCCCTCCCCTGCCTCTCCTCAGGCACCTCAAGTCCATGCCTCCCTCCCTGCACCAAAGCCTTGGGTGAGTGGTTGCAACTGAAAACTCCTGTGTTCTGGGTTTAAAGACTGAAAATAAAGAAAACAAAAACAACCATAAAACTTTGGCTTCTGCTCCCATCAGCACCATGCTGCGTTCGCCTTTCTCGGGGGCCGCCTTTTTCGGGGGCTGTCTTTCTAGGAGGCCACCTTTGGTGGGAGACGCCTTTTTCGGGGGCTGCCTTTCGTGGCCGGGGTCTCAGGTCCAGAACCCCTGGCAGCCAGCAGCCTTGTGGCTTTTCCTTTTCACAGTTGGATGTTACGTCTGCCACCAAGGGATGCAGTTCTGGTGCTCAGCCTGGGCTGGGCTTCTATTTTTCTAAGGGAACAGATTTTTCCATAATGCAGCTTCCTCCTCTCCCTCTCGGCCCACCAGCCTGCCACCCATCTTGCAACCTCGCCGCCCTTCCTACCAGTCTCCAGGTGTTTTCTGTCCTTCTTTGCTATAAGTCGCCTCCTCAGCTGGGCCTCATTTGTTCATTCCAGGTGAATGTTCTCCAATTTAGTTGTATTTCCAGTCTGGTCCTGGGACGAGATGCAAGACAGGACTGCCTATTCAATCGCCATTTTCTCCCCACGTAGTAAACATTCCTTGGATGTATGACTAACAGATGGCTACACACGTGAGAGAGAACTGCTCATTGTGGGATGTTGAAATGGCTACAGGGCTCAGTGTTTCTGATAAAGCAGATAGATAAAGAAGGTCAATTTTTAAAAGGGGGAAAAAAGAAAGGAAAGAGAAAAACTAAAAAGGAGAAAGGAGAAGGAACATGGAAGGAAAAAAAAGAGAAGAGTCAGTGGGGGAAAGACCATAAACAATTTTTTTTAAAACATTTTTTTAAAATATGTTTTATTGATTTTCTACAGAGAGGAAAGGAGAGGGATAGAAAGTTAGAAACATCGATGAGAGAGAAACACCGATCAGCTGCCTCCTGCACGCCCCCCACTGGGGATGTGCCCACAACCAAGGTACATGCCCTTGACCGGAATCGAACCCGGGACCCTTGAGTCCGCAGGCCGACGCTCTATCCACTGAGCCAAACCGGTTCTGGCAGACCATAAACAATTTACAAAAAGAGCAAATACAACTAATGAGCAAAAGTAGAAGCGGAAGTTTCCTAACTGTGGAACTGGTGGGACCCTCCTAATTGTATGAATTAACTTAGGAACTTACAATTCAGAGCAAAAAGGTGGTAAGACCTTTAAAGAAACCTGGGAAGAGAAATAGGGGGAGGAGTCAAGGACATTAGATGAGTGTATGAGTTTCTTATAGCTGCTAAAACAATGACCACAAAGTTAATGACTTAAAACAATACAGATTTATTATCTCGGAGTTCTGGAGGTCTTATTGGGCTAAAAGTCAAAGTCTCAGCATTGCTGCAATTCTTCTGGAGACTCTGGGATAGAATCTGTTTCCTTACCTTTTCCAGCTCCTAGAGGCCACTTGCATATTCTCTCTCTCTCTCTCTCTCTTTCTCTCTCTCTCTCTTTTTCTCTCTCTCCCCGGTTGCCTCCCTCCTTCTAAGAAATGATGCAATTACATTGGGTCCATCCAGATATTACAAGATAATATCGCCATCTCAAGATCCTGAACTGAATCAGATCTGCAAAGTCCTTTTTACCAAGTAAGTTAACACATTGACAGGTTCCAAGATTAGAATGTGAATATATCTGGGTGGGTGGCTGGGGAGGGGGCATTGTTCTGTCTACTGTAGGGAGAGCATGGAATTTCAGCCCCTTTACACACCCTGTGGCCTGAGCGGCTTAGGGCCCCAAAATGGAGCAACTAACTGTATTAAAAAAGTTAACAAGACTCTGGGCATAAGGTAGAGTTCAGTTTGGAGTCCAAGTGACACTTCTGCCACCATGCTCTCCATCCTAAGTGCAGTTTTGTTACTCTGAGGGCTGAGGCAGCCACCGGCAAAGCAAAACTGTGCCTAGTAGAGAACACCAGCAGCCAAGGGTTTAGGTAGAGCATCTCCACCGGGAAGGAGAAGCTTTTCTGAGATATCATCAAACTGGGAATGCCCCACATAATTGGAAAACCATGGTTTGGAGGAGCTGAAGGTTTGAGAGAGCAGGTATAGGCTGAGAATCATCAGGCTTTCGGCATTAATAAAAACTACAGCAACAATAATAATAGCCATCATTTATTGAGCACCTACCACATGTCAGGCATGTTTCTAATAATACATATATATTATACATTATATATATTTCAGTCAACTGTAACCATGCTAGCATTCACAAATGCCCATCACTATTAGTCATCAGAGTGTTGTCTGTTAAACAGAAATGAACTCTTATCTTCCTCCTGTCTAATTTTTTAATGTAAAGAAAAATCCAGTGAAGCTGGTGTGAGTATGGTGAAATGGAACTTTGTAGACACTAGTAGTAGTGATGCAAGTAGACAATTCTTTCAGAAAGCAGTTTGGTTTTTCTATCTTTTGTCTCTTAAGTCATAAAACATTTATGTTTTTCTAATTCAGTAATTTCACTTCTTAGGAATCTAGTCTTTAAAAAAGCTAAAATATGGGGGTGGATATCCTAGGTACAAAATTATCTGTGAGTGTGGTGAAATGGAACTTTGTAGACACTACTAGTAGTGATGCAAGTAGACAATTCTTTCAGAAAGCAGTTTGGTTTTTCTATCTTTTGTCTTTTAAGTCATAAAACATTTATGTTTTTTAATTCAGTAATTTCACTTCTTAGGAATCTAGTCTTTTAAAAAGCTAAAATATGGGGGGGGGGGAATATCCTAGTTACAAAATTATAATAGCAGTTAGAAAAAATTGGAAATATCTCAAGTATCCAACTGTAGAAAAATTTTACGTGCATGGGCTTAAAGGACTGTCATGCTACTGTTGAAACAGGAAAAAATAGATTATCATGAAGGCTATATATCAACCTAGAAAAAAAATTTTTTTAATCCTTACCTAAGGATTTGCCTTTTAATTGAGTTCTGGAGAGAGAGGAAAGAAAAAGGAGACAGAGAGAGAGAAAAAAATATTAATGTGAGAGAGAAACATCGATTGGTTGCCTCATCTTGACTGGAGATCAAACCCCCAACCCGGGTATGTGCCCTGACCAGGAATTGAACCTGAGACCCTTTGGTGTACAGGACGACACTCTGTCTATGGAGCCACACCAACCAGGGCAACCTGGAAAACATTTTGTATATCTGCATACACAGCTATTATAATGGGAAGTGTAAAGGTAGGACATAAAACTTTATGTACATTCATAGAGCAGCATTATGCACAATAATCAAAAAGTGGAAGCAACCCAAATGTTTATCAGTAGATGAATGGATAAACAAAATATGACCTATGCAAACAGTGAATTTTACTCAGCCTTAACAAGGAAGGAAATTCTGACACACACTACAACATAGACATGGACAATCTTGAGGACATTATGCGAAGTTAAATAAGTCAGTAACAAAAAGACAAATACTGTAAGGTTTCACTTATATGATGTATTTAAAGTAATCAAATTCACAGAAATAGAAAGTAGAATGGTGGTTTCCAGTGTCTGGGGAGAGGAAGAAATGAGAAGTTGTTTAATGGGGTCAGAGTTTCAGTTTTGCAAGCTGAAAAACTTCTGGAGATTTGTTGATTGTACAACAATGTGAATTAGCTTAGTACTACTGAAATTTACACTTAAAATGGTTCAGATAATAGATTTTATGTTACATATATTTAACCACAATTAAAAATGTTTTACAAAATATGTATGGCCCTAACCAGTTTGCTCAGTGGTTAGAGCGTTGGTCCTCAGACTGAAGGGTCCCGGGTTTGATTCTGGTCAAGGACAGAATCTTTTAAGTCTCAGTTGCAGGTTGCAGGCTCGATCCCCGGCCCTGGTTGGGGCACGTGCAGGAGGCAATCAATTGATGTGTTTCTCTCAGATTGATGTTTCTCTCTCTGTCTCTCACCTTCCCCTCCAATGGAGAAAAAAAACTATCCTCAGGTGAGGATTAACAGAAAACCCACATTTATGTACATTGAATTATAGACCTATAAAAGCTCCATATAAATTGAACAAATACACCTAAACTATGTTAGTGGTTATGCAAAATGGCAAAATTTGGGAAATTTTAAAGTTTATCAAATTATAGTGGAAAAAATTTAAAGTAAAAACCAGTAAACAGTAGTAGCTCGGTCTGTATGTATATAGACTAGTGGACTCTGAGCCCTGGATAGGGACTAATGATTTCTGGCCAGAGCGGGATGCAGAGAGCAATCGAGACTGCAATGGAAGTCGGAGGGTCTTTTTTTATATATAGAATTCTGGAATGAAAATCACATGTTTTTATTGATTTTAGAGAGAGAGGAAGGGAGAGAGAGAGGGAGAAACACCAATGAGAGAGACACATCGACCTGCTGCCTCCTGTACGACCCCACTGGGGATCAAGCCCACAGCCTGGACATGTGCCCTGACTGGGAATTGAATTGGGGACCTCTTGGTTCATGGGTCAATGCTCAACCACTGATCCACACCAGCCAGGGTGTCAGGCTTTTCGACAGTGGTTCTGTTATCACTTCAGTGAAAGAGGCTGCCACACAGCATCATCAGACAGACAGCTTTTTCTCCGGACCAATTAACATGTATAATCTAATTACACTTACCTTTGGCCCTGGCTGTTATGACCTGCCAGAGTAGATGGTTCTGTGACTCACTCAGACCTGCAGGGTGCTTTTGTTTCTCATTGCTTCCTGTTTCTCTTACTGTTCAAATACTTAACAGCAGTTCAGACTTCCTCTTATAGGAACATATGTCAGTGTTCCAGGCTCGGACTGGAGAGGTTTGGTTTCTGTCACAGGCCTCTGAAAAGAAGGCCAGGAAGGTATAACTCTCTGGCTTTGGTCCACATGGCACTGTGAACCCTGAGGGGTGGATCTGTGCCCAAAAAGGTAGGGAATTGCTGGGCATGGTAAAGTGAGGGAAGAGTTTTGTTGCAGAT